GATGATAATAAAATAAAATAAAAATAAATAAATAAATAAATAAATAAATAAATAAAAATTAAAAAAAAGAAGAAAAAAAAAATAGTTAACCCTTATCTAGAGTTACAGTATACCAAGCTTTATGTTAAGTGTTTAAATACATTAACTCATTTAATTTGCACAATAATCCTATGAAATAGAAACTATTATCAACTTCATTTCACAACTGAGGAAATTGAGGTGCATATAACTGAGGTTACATAACTTGTTTGAAATCAAGGGTAATAGGTAACAGAGCTGGAGTTCGATTTTAAGCAGTCAGGGTCTATGCTCTTTTATCCTGTGCTAAAATTTTGGTAAAACCATTCATGCATATATAAAGAATTCATATGTAAATATACACACACCTAATACATACACATACATCTATACATTTACACACAGACCACACACACATGCTCCTATGTTGGGTGAGAAGTCCAGCTTGTCTGACCTTATGCTTATAACAAAGGTGCCATCTGGCGTTAGAACCCTCTAATTGCAGAAAAAGCACCCAAGTGGAGATGAAGATTTACAAACAACACCAACTTCAGTTGCAAAGAACGGTCGTCCAAACATGGACATCAGAGTGGGACCTGGCCTGCCTTACTCTCTGAGTCATCTTCATACCTGAAAACATGTTTAAGTGACCTCACAGTGCTGCTTCCAGCTGGCTCCGCACGTTTACTCTCTATAAAACCTGCAAAAAACACCCCTGCACAGGAATCACCTCACTCTCATGTCAAGGAAGAGAACATAACATGATTTTTTTTTTTCATTTGGGGGAAAATGAGTTTCCGTATAATAATATTGCATACCTCTGTCTTCAGCACTCAGACCAGCTCTGTGCACACATCTGCCTGTCCAAGTCTTACCATGGAAGCAACACAGTACTTTCCTTTCTCTTCCAATCAGTGGGCAAGGTGTGATGGCTTCAAGTTTTACAGAGGACCTGAGAGTACACTGTGGCAGATTTCCCTGTTTCATTTCTCTAACTGGTTTGTCAACTTGGCCTTGAAAGTGCTCTGCCACAGCAGGGGAGCTCCCCAAGAATGATACCTTGGAAGAGGCTCAACTCTGAGTTTACTCTTCCCTTACAGAACAATTAATACTATATTTTTTGAAACTGCTTTCCTAATTAATCTTGAACTTAAATCAGGTCCCTGGGGCAAACCAGGTCTGGGTCTAACCCAGACCTTTTCATTGGCGTTTTTTATTTGACAATAACTCACCCAGTCAGAATTGTTCCCAGGTAACAGTTTGAAGAATCTGCTGGTGAAACAGAAGAGCAGCCTAACTTGCTCACACTGTCCAAATTATTTCTGACTAAATCTAAGTGATAGTGAACACCCTTCTACACTAAATGATGAAGTGGCACACACACGCAGAGACAGAGACTCCAACACTGCAGGCTTAACCTTAGAGTTGTTGAGCATGAAGTTTCTCATAGCATATAAGGTATTAACTGTGTAGCATTATTTCATTGCATTTAAGTTAGCTGAGAACTTTTGGCGAAACAGAACATCCTCAGTTCAGATTCAAATAACAAGGGTTACAGAAATATAGATGACACAATTTCACAGCTGTATAACATCCTCAAATATATAAAAAAAAAAAATAAGATGTGAAAAGAGGAGGTGCTGGGCAGGAGTGCACTGATACATGGTGAGCAACATGGGGCTGACTTCCTTTTGAATCAGTATCTCAGGAGTTAGTTTGGCAATAGGAACCAATCCTAATGAGCGCAGACTGGCCATGTTCTGGCATTGTCAGATTTCCACTGGGTAACAAGTGTTTCTGAAGGAGCTCTGCCCTTTTCTAAAGTCGTCTCGGCTCCACTAGGCCTTCGATAGCCACAAACATTTGCTTCTTAGAACGTCAGTCCAGAGTTGTAAATACAAATCAGGGATGAAGATGGAATAAAATTCGTATACTGCCTCTTTGTAGAATCTGAGAAAGTCAGAACTCAAATTCTTTATTCTGGCAAGAGACCATTAAGATATTTCTTCAACACTAATGAAAATACCACACTGAATTTACATTCTTTGTTTCCTAATTTTTTTCTAGTTCAGCTGAATTCTCTTTTTGGAGTAAACTCTTGCCCTTGATTATAAGGATTATTCGTGAATTTATCTGTCAGAACATTTGGCATCCTTCTGAGAGCCAAGATATCACATCACCCTACTACCCTGTCCTACATAATCCCAATTGTACTGTATCTCTTCTGTCCTGGCCATGCTGTATAGTAGTCAGAATCTGTAGACATGGATTCACGCTTTTAAGTGAGGGTCAGTTCCATGGTGCAGTAGTAATGCTCTGCTCAAAAGAAGCTTTATGCCACCTGGTGACAAGGCCAAATGCCCAGTCAGGTCAGCGTGAAACATCCCAGGATTACACACTAAGACCCAGGATCCAGATGACCAGAAGACTATAAGAAGGAGAGCACAGTATGACTAGACCCTGAGGAAAGTACTCTCTCTGTCTTTCTCTTATATAAGCACACACACTATCATGAATAAAGGAATAAAGTAACTTTCTGCCATGACAGAAATATTAGATATCTTACTTTGAATGGTAATTGAGCATATAGAATTTTCTTTCTTTTTCTTTTTTTTTTTTTTTTTGAGAGGTTTTTGCTATAGGGTTATAGGATGCAAGTGTTTGCCAGAAAGACAGAGAGAGACAGAGAGACAGAAAGCGAGAAATCACTCCTTGGGGGGATGGCCACGCCACAATCCCTTCTCCTCTATTCTCCTCTCGGGATCTTGGGCACACACACACATGCACCTGGTGTGAGTTTAAGCCACCAGGTCTGGGACTTGAACTACAGTCGACTACATGGAAGTCCAGTGACAAAGCCATTATGTCAACTACTGGTCCTGAGCATATAGAATTTTCAAAATGCATAGAAATAAGCACTAATCTCTATGGGGTTTTTTTACAGGTAAATTATACCTAATTTTTTTAAATGAGCAAAAGAGCCCTTATAACTCATTAGGAAATTCTCTTTGATGGACATGATTTTATTCTCTCAATGTAATACTCATCTACTATGCAGAAGGGAGCATGCATCCCCATTTTCACATTGGGCTCTGTGACTACATGTTGTTGATGGAGGTCTCGGAAAAAAAACCTTAGTGACATAAGACCCAGCTCCAGAGAGGACAACACCCCTACGATAAGAATGTCCAGAGTGCAGGCCTGCCATGTTTCCCTGCCAAAATAACTGATAGTCACATACAGAATTTTATGATCCCTTAGACCTGGTAGAGAGAATACTGAGTCATTAGAAAAGTCATGTATTTTTCTGTTTTTCTATGCAAAAATATATCATGACTTTTCAGATGACCTAATAACTTCGACTGAAGACTTGATCTTTTAACACCTGGAGGAGTTATGTGAGGAGAGGACATAGACAAGAATCTAAGGTAATACCACTGTTTCAAGAATCTGTGTTAACAAGATAGATAGCCTGACTTTATGTCAAATTACCTTCAAGAAGTGATAAGCTTTTATTGAGTACTTCCTATGTGCTAGATGTAGTTAAGTTCTTGACTTGTATTAACCCTCTTAATTCTCAGATCTTCTTTAGTTGTTATAGAGGGGAAAAACAATAGTCATGAAGGAAGGTGGGATGGAATAATCAACTTACCTGCCCAGACTACTGGAACTTCTTTCTCTTCCGACCATTCTTCATGGGACATGAAAGAATAAGGGATAGTATGATTACAGAAAGGCTGGGAAAGAACAGAAATAGGAGGACAAAAGCAGCCAGGCACATCAGTAGCCTCTGCAGTTAGAATCAGAATGAATCCTGGCTTAAGGGGAAGGACAGTGGTTCAAAAGTAAAATATTGGAGGAGTCTGACCCGGTAGGGCCCCAGGATCTGTTTTTAGCCTTTGACCTTTTGAGCACAGCTTTGGTCGGCTCAGCATGTCGGCAAGGCTGCTGTTGTAAGGCCCCCGCCCCCCAACCTATGAGCAAAGCTTGGATCAACTCAGCATGTTGGCAAGGCCACTTGTTGTACGCTCCAGAGACTGTGGTAGCCTTGCTGGGAAGCGACCCCCCTCTGACTCCCTGATATACTACTATAAAAGAATTACATAGTTCTCTTATACATCCTGAGTATATGATAATATTTCCCGAAAGTCCCCTGACCTCTCCCCTTTGCCCTGACCACCTACTGTTAATTACAATGCTTCATCCCTGCGGTCACAATAGAGGGTGTGCTGAAGTCACATCTAGGCAGAAATCTTCTTGACCTTTGTAAGGCCCTTCAAGATATATTTAACATAAGCTTAAAAATAACCTTTTAGGCCAAAACTGGCCCAGGACACTCCCATCCCACGGTAGCTAATGTTCTAACAAAATACATAACAGTGGTGCCACAGGCACAATAGAATGCTTAGATATGCCATAAACCCACTTTAAAGTTCTTCATTAACTTGTTGGTCACTTTACCTCCAGTTGAGAAAGCTGAATCCCCACCCTCACCAAGTGAACAATAGCTTCACCCCTTTTAAATAGATAAGTATATTAGGATTCCTTGAATTAAGTTTTAGATCCCTATAAAATTATGTAAGTATCATTCTTTATTGCAATCCATAAGAACTAATATCTATACTTGAGATTTTCTTTTCTCAGCATCATGCTCAGTAATTACAAGATGGCTGCTGCCACATCAACTGATAATTATCTCTGCTTGCTGGAGCTGCTTTCCCGAAACTGCATTCCACGAAGACCTGCCTACATCAAATGAACAATTGCGAAACTGCAATAGACCCACCCTTAATCCAACCCTGAATGGGACCTATGTTCCCTATTGTTAAAACTTTATGAACTGATCATTAGAACACATAACCACTCACACATTTACTTGCATGTATCACATTTTCAATAAAAATGCACGATGATTCCGAGTAGTTGTCACTCTACATAGAGCGATCTCTAGGGAGTGTCCGATTCAGGACGTGCTTGAAAAGGCACTGAGGCCTCCATCTTCCTTTCCTGTGCCGCCTCCGATGAGAGAACCGACCCCCGCCGAGGCTGGACACCGGCAAAATATGAAACCAGAAGATGGCATAATGGTTGCACTGGACTCCCAGGTAGTGTACAACAGTTCAAGTCCGGACCTGGCAGCTTGAAATTTATACCAGGTGCTTGTGTATGTGTGTGTGTGTGTGTGTGTGTATGTGTGTATGCCAAAGATCCTGAAAGGAGAAGAATAGAGGAGAAGGGCTTGTGGCATGGCTACCTCCCAGGGGGTTATTTCTCACTTTCTGTCTCTCTGCCTCTCTCTTTCTCTGTCGAATGTATGCACCCTTTAGCAAAAATGTCTCAAAAAAAAATAATAAAGTAAAACACAATGCTCTTAGAGGCTGAGTCACATGAAAAGTTTCCAGGTTTGAGTACATAGATCTTCCTGAGTCTGAGAGGTATATGCATGCCCATGATGCAGGGCTGGATGAGCCTGGGGGTGGATCATGATGTCAAGCACCTGTTGGGCATATGCTAGCTCGCTCTCTCTCTCTCTCTCTCTCTCATTGAAAAATATAAATGAATCAACTAAAAAAAAAAAAGAATGAATCCCAGCAGTAGCATATAAAAGTTGAAAGAGCAAATCTACTCTACTTGGGTACATTTTCAATAGAGAATGTAAAATCAGTCATAAAACAGACTAAAATTTGATATGCTTTTTATTGTCACATGTTGGCAATCCTACTGTTTACAAAAAAATTCTTAGTTGATCTAAGTTCTAAATAATTGTTACAGTTTATGTTGAGTTTTAACATTAAAATATCAATACAAGCCACAAGTTATCACCTTTTCTGTTTTTTGTTTGTTTGTTTGTTTGATTTTGTTTTTGCCATAGTGCGCATGTACTCACCAGAGAGAAGGAAAGTGAGAAATCACCTCCTGGGGAGATGGTCATGTCTCAATCCCTTCTCCTCCAGTCTCCTCTCAGGATTTGGGACGTCCATGTTCACATGCCTGGCATGATTTTCAAGTCGCCATGTTCAGAACTCAAACCACTGTCAACCATGTGGGAGTCCAGTGCCTTAACCACCATGCCACTTATTGGCCCCAAGTTATCATATTTTTACTTGTGGTTATTTAATATTTTATTTTGCCTGAAAGTTAAATCCAATAACTCCTAGTTACACAGCCCTCCACACATGGGGATTTGGCTACACGCATTAGTTTTTTGTTTTTTGTTTTTTGTTTTGTTTGTTGTTGTTTTTTTTTTTTTTTTGGAGGGATTTTCACTGTTGGGCCGCGTGCGCTCGCCAGACAGACAGAGAGAGACAGAGAGACAGAAAGCAAGAAATCACCACCCAGGGGGGATGGTCACGCCGCAATCCCTTCTCCTCCATTCTCCTCTCGGGATCTTGGGCATGCACGC